ACAGTGATCTTGTGAGACAAGTGTAATAAAGCATTCAGTCATACAGTTTAACTCAGAGTTCAAGAGTCAACTGAGAATATTAGTTTTAAGTGCTTTTCTTAGATCTTTAGGCATAAAATACTGGACTGCCAAAAAGTTAACAGGCCTGCTTGACTGATGGTGTGGTATCATCAGGATTGCCATTAGCTTTCAGCCCTTCATCTTCTAAAAAGTCACGAAACACATTTCACTTTCTGAGTTGAAGTGTGCATGTTTTGATCAGGCCAGAATATGAAGGTGAACGGCTTGGGTCTCAAATGTGACCCAACACAGAGTTTTGTCTTGATGGATGTGCAGCCTGGCTTCAATCAACCAGCCTTGAGCTCTCACTATTAACCCAGGCTGATTGCTGATAGCTGCAATAAGGGGGGAAGGAGCAGAAGCAGAGGACGTCCTTCTTGCAGGCAGTTTACTAGAATTTCCCCAGCTCCAATAGCCTTATCTGTGGCCATGTCTCTGCAGTGATTGGTCAGCTGGTATCCATTAGGATGAAAGGCAATGGTGGCCTCATCACAAATCTATCAAGACTTAGCGCGCACACACTAATGCATAAAAAGTACAGTAAAGAGGCATCTAAAACGTTTATTTTTTTTTTTAGTCTGAGCAACAGCTGTGACACAATCTTCTACCTGGAACACCTTTGCACCAGTCAACAGACAGGTGGAGCTCAAAAGTGTATGGCAGTTTTTGTTTTTTATGTTGCAGTATTTTGGTATTGTTAGACATCTAAATCCCTTTAGGTTGTAAAAAATGATACATTTTAAGATAAAGAAATTTTTTTTGTATCACAAAAATGTCCAGAAAACTTCTCGTTTGTGCATTGATGTTGATGTATGTTCAGGACCCTTAGATTTATGCATCTATGTAGATTCATGTGTGGTATAATGTGTTATACATTATACAAATAGTAAGAATGCTTCAAATGAATGATATTATACAAGGGTGGAAATAAATTCACATAATGTATTCATTTAGATATACGTATATGCATCTATACATATATCTATAAGTATAGAAGAATACAGGGATTCAGGGTAAATAATGTTCGTACAACAGCATGTAACTGCCGAGTATCCGCTCATTCAGGTATGTGCTTATTCATACTTAGGTATAACACAATATATATTTATATAACAATAGTAATTATTAGTTAGCTACTATTAACTAATAATTACTAATAATAATCAAATTATGGGGGTCCATTTGAAAACATCTGCAAACATAGTTCATGGGGTAGGAGTTGATAAGTTTTGTACTTCTTCCTACTCCTTTTCGAACATGTCAAGGCAACTGTTGCTCCAATGTAAGTATCTTATGTTCCCTTTTTAAGCATGTCCACATATGTCTGTTACTTTATACTGCTATCATGTTTGAATATTTGATGAAATCACAGTGCTTCACAGGACACATAAGAAAGGCACATCAAACATCAAATTAAATTACAATGCCTGTTTGTACAAATGTGCTTTTAGCTGCAACTTAAAATAACCCATGCAAATGACGCAATGTAAAAACAATGGGAGAGAATTCCGCAATCAGGGAGCAACAGTCTGAAACAACCCACGGGTTATAAACCGAGGACGTGGGGCTGATAAAAGACTCTGATCAGCAGACCTCATAGCCCTAGCATAAGTCAGAGACATACTGGGATGCCTAACCATGCAGAGCCCTGAAAGTTAAAACAAGAGTTTTAGCCGGAAATCTAAAATTAACTGGTAACCAGTGAATGACGATCAAGACAGGAGTTATACGAGTTCCTTCTGTGTCCCTGTTAAAAGTCTAGTCGCAGCATTCTGCACAGTTTGAATTTTATTTATAATGGTCACATAAAAAGACCATTACAAAAATGTACCTAAGATGACACAAAGGTATGTAAAATAACACATCTGAGTTAGACATGGGATCCTGAACAGAGGATCCCAGGAAGAAAATGTACTTTATGATTTCAGGAATCTTTTCATCAGGCGCATCAGTTTTGATGGAGTTTGGTTGTAAGCAGTTTACTTTTAACCAATTCTAATCTCAACCAAGATTAGAATTGACTTGACAAACTTAAAAAATCAGATGGTTTAAAAAAGCAACATAACTGTATGTTGTCAGAAAAAAAATGATAAATGACACAATTAAAATGGCATATAAGCAAATTATTTGCCTGAAAGGTAGAATGTGAATGGCTGTTTAAATCATGACCCAATTGTGTTGTTATACAATAGAAATAGAATTGGGCCAAGAACAAATCCTTGGAGTACACCGTATGGCAGATCTGATGAGCCAGACATTATTTGATTAATGTAGACCCTGAATAATCTGCCTGAAAGGTAGGATGTGAATCATTGTAAGACAGCACCAGTAAATCCAAAGCATTTGAGTCTATGTATCAAGATGACATGATCAACTGTCTCAAAGGCTGAGGTAAGATCCAACAAAACTAAGACTGTGTAATCTCCTGAATCAGCTGCCAAGAGAATGACACTTTAAGTACAATAGTTTCAGTTGAATGCATTTCAAGAAAACCAGGTTGAAAGATGTTCAATATAATGGTTTACTTAAGGAAACGTTTAAGTTGTTGTGCCACAACTTTTTCAAGAAGGCAGAAATGACAGCAGACCATAGTTAGTACTGCAAGAATCTTGCAGAGGCAACACCAAAACAGAGGGTGGTTCCCTAAAAGGCCTAAAAAAGCCAGTGGAGACTCACCGCATATTATAAATGGGAGAGCCCTATGGACAGGGGATCCTTCCACATGAACACACAAACACTCAAGCATGCTGTCCAAGCAGACACAATCAAATCTTTCTGTCTGAGGCTGCTATGGGTAGGAACATGATAGTAGGCATATTATACTTCTACGCACACAGAAAGCCTTTCTAAAAGCATGAATATGTATCGCAATGACCACAATGTTTGAACATGAATAACACGTGTATGCCAAAACCACACCACAACCGGCTATGCACACAACACACAACCCTAACCCCGTAGCTAAAGGGAGGGGAAAGAAGAAATGCAAATGGAAAAATAAACAAATAAATGCATCATTATGCATTGGACATGGTCTCATTGACCAAGGGCTTGAACAGAGTCCCCACTGTTCAGTGTTGTGATATAAAAGACCAATGTGCTCACAAAAAGACAATTTCTTCATTATTTTCAGTCATATTGAGCCTCTTGCTATTAGGATCAACCTGTGTCTCAAACTACAGCAATGACATCATGAAAGTATGCAAGAAGCAGTGGTGACTGTCCAAATAACATCTGGAAAGAGAAGATGTATTCCTCATAGTTGTATGAGGAATACATCTCATGAGGGATCCATACTGCAGCTAAAGAGTCTCTGTGGTATTACACCACCCATGCCATTGTGCTGATGTTTTTCTGTTTTTATGTGTTATTAGTCCAAAAATGTGGATATCATCACTTGCATTGACAATAGTGTTTATACATTTCTATTTCTACAAAATGTGTGACATATTTCTACTATAAGTCACACAAATACAACCTTAGAAAACACGTATTGTCTGGTCTTTCAGTACAGATTCTAAATATTTCTTCAGACTCAGAAAAGATCAGAAACACTCAGATATTAAATGTCGAGTCATGAACAAATGTCTAAAGTTAAGAAAATTGCAGTTGAATTTCATATACTGTACGTACTTTCAGTTTTCTCTTTAGTTTTTTGTCTTATTTGGTTTCTTTTTTTTTGACAGCACTTCTGTACAGATGTGACTTATGTTACGTGAGATTTCATTTCACTTAACCATTCATTTTATATGTACAGCAGAGCAGAATGTTTACAAGTGTAACATAAACACAGTAATCTAATCTAAACCACAAACAACCCCACCTCCACAGATCAAAACTTTTGTCACTGTGTCTGACCTTTGGAGAGCATTTTCATTAACTCAGCAAGAGGGAGGGAGGAAGAATCTCTAATCTCTAATTTAAGGACATGAGAAGAAACTAGGAAGTTAAGAGAAGACCTTTATGTGTGAGTAATTGGTCTGCAGAGAAACAACCAACATGCACACCACAGGTAGCAACAGGCCCTGTCTTAATAGCTACCCTTATAAAAATCATTAAAGTCTCACAGACATCTTGTGCAAATGTTTGTGTGAGTATGAGTATCTCTATGTGGGCAATCAAAAGTAGGGGGTATTGTGTGAGATCTGACTCCAGCTAACAATGTTAGTATTTTCCCTTTACCTTCTACAACATATTCTGTACATATACAGGGGATGCTTAAGCATAAATTCATTATTTGACCTGATGTAACAGATGGTAAGTTACACAGAACTACAAGGGAAATCCTTTGAGCAAAGATTTTGAGTAGAAATAAATTTTTAATGATTATAACATAACAGGAAGACACTTATATTTTATCTGAAAACGCTTTACATATAAGCCACCAAGAGCACCAGCTTCCAATCCAAACCAAGTCAGTGGATGATCAAAAGTTCATTTTATAACCCCCAAAAATTGCATCACTTTCAATGAAAGGAAATATGGTTAATTCATCAGATCTATATTGTGAAAGCAAAACTGCAATCACATATGCACACTTAACAATTCTTAAATTTGTTTTTTATTTAATGTAGCACATATGAGAGGATTTAAAATGGGGACATTCAGGAGGATTTAGTATGGGACATATGGCAGGATTTAAGCAAAGGTATGTAATTACTATTGTTGACGCATAAAATTGTTTTTTAATCTTTACTTTTCTTTTCATCATATTAAACATTTTCTGAAAGGTTATTCTTTAAATTTATTTTAACATTCCTTTCTTTCCAATTTCCCTTGAATTCTAATTTTAAAAAAATCAATAATGCCTTATTCCATTTACAGAAAATATCTGAATAATTTAAAGGTATGGCCTCGAGGGATGCACTCGAGGGTAAAAGTACATTCCAAATTACTTATGCATTCGTGGAAGCGTGAATGTTAAATTATGTTAAAATTACCTTCTTCTGTAGGATATTCACTTTTCTCTCCTTGACATCCAGCATGTCCTTCATATCTCTGATTTCTCCAGCCAGTGTGCTCTTTTCATCACTCAAGTCTTGCAGTTGTTTGGTTTTCTTAGTCAGAATCTGTTCCTTCTCCTCCAGGCGCACTCGCAGAGCGTCCACCTGTAGTTGATCACAAAAGGCAATAACAGAGAATTTAAAAAAAAAAGAAATTTCATCATTGACAGCCCACATTATAGGAAAGAAAAAATAAACAATATAAAAAAACTTTGGGACATGATTTCCATTTATTTCACAGGTAAGCAGTCAGTGCCCGAAATAACATCTCTCAACACACTTACTTGTTGACATTTAGAAGCATCAAACATTGTTTGGCTTGATGTTCACAAAATAAAGCACTGCAGACTGATGCTGTAAAAGTATACGTAAATAAAGAAGGAAATTGCACGACTGGTGAGGTTCTGCCATTGATCACATTAAAATAATCTGTATCTGGCTGCGTGCTACGAGCTGAGAGACCTCTGAGCTCTGATACCCAAAACTCAGTTTGGGTGTCAGTATTCTGCTAGACTGAAAAATAATTCATATGTACATTCACATCTTAATCTGGCCATGATGACCAGAACTTCTGCTCCTTTAACGGCTGATTTAAAACCAGGTTGAGTGAGTTCATTTGAACTCAACATGTACTTTTAAGACAGTACGGTTAGCTTAGCACATGATATTAAGGCTATCATGGTTTATTGGATAGGGCACTCATCTCCCTTTAAAATGGTGTGATCCCATTCTGCTTCCTTATGCCACACGTCGATGTGTGCCTGAACAAGGCACTATAACACAAGTTTCTTACCAATCTGCATAACGGTATATGAATATGTGACAATTTGCGAGACCTGGATGAATGTGGCTGTAGTGTAAAGCACATCAAGGTTGGAATGACTAGTAAACCACTGGTTAAATTCAATCCAATGATTGATTCCCAATCGTGCTTTCAATCTTTTAGTTACATTGGATAAAAGAAACTTGCTAAATAAATTCAATGTAATGACAATGTGTCTGGACTCACATGTAAGAAAAAGCCATAGGCCAATTAGGTCAGAAAAAGAAAAGTGTAGAACTACAGCAGACTCGCTATTGTGCAGGGAGCAGGAAGTTTTGAGTTCAAATACTCTATCTACATTTCTAAAACTGAGGTGCAGCTCAGTTTTAGAGGTGCACCTGTGCTTTCCTGAGTATCGCAGGTACCCCTAAAGTCTGGCTTTCGATGCCAGCCAAGAGCTCCAGGTGTAGAATGCTAAAGTATTTATCTCATGTTGCTTGTCTGGCATACAACCAAAGTGTAATACTGAGGATGCCTCTGTCCTCCCCAAATTACATTTGCACACACACACACACATTAGGCCAGTCACTAGTCCTTTGTGATTCCATACATGTGTGTATGTGTTCACAATATGTATGACAGAAAGAAAGGCAGACCTCCTATGCTTAAACTTCACCTGGCAAGAAGCAATTTAGCAAAAATGTACCAAAGGGGCCAAACAGGAAATCCCTGCTGTCTCACCTGCACTAGTTTGCTACACTGTGATGGTGTTGCACAGATGCCGTGCTAATACCCTCTTAAAGCACTCATCCCTGCCAGAAAGCCAAAGCAAGGAGACAATGTTACATAGGTGAGCAGGCACAGATGAATGAATGAAAATGAGAAAGGGTAAAGCAGGTAAGAGTGAGAAAAAGTGAAAAGAGATTATAGCATTTCTTCACAGATCATTTGGCTTGAGGATATTAACACCTCAAGCTGATGCCGCTCCATCATTGGCTTATAATACTTCATGTGAAGATATAGAGGAGTAAACCCCATAAGACTTTTATCAAATGGCTAAAGTATTGATATATCTTAGACTTTTCTCATATTTTATCATCTTACAACCAAAAACCTTAATAATTTTTTTATGTGATAGACCAACATAAAGTAGCACATCATTGCAAAATACTTTTAATCTTTTCATAAAAAAGAAATTGTAACGTGTACATTTGTATTTAATAAACTCAAGCCAATAAATAAAATCCAGTTCAGTCAATTGGCTTTGAAAGTCATTTTAGAGTTTAACTTTATCTAGATAAACTACTTATAAGTTTTATTTTTTTATTTTTTATTTTTTTTCAGAAAACATGAGTGAAGTTACAGCTTCATGAAGATCTAGAAATACAGCAGGCAGGTTCAGGCACATTAAAGTTTGAAAATCCCAGGTACAATATCAGTTCTAAAACCAACACTTGAGAATGAATGGAAAACAAAAAGAAATATTAAAAACCTCTATTACACTGCCATCTTCCACAAGAAAAAAAAATTACAGAAACTTTGGTGCTTCTCACTCAACACCACATCATTTGAAAAATTACCCTAATATGCATTCAGGATTCTGCGGTTGATAAGATAATGATTCTTGGCCACATGCGGCTTTTCTTTCAATTGGCACAGACAAAGTATTTTAAACACATGCAAGCACACATCCATACAGGCTACAGTATTCTCAGCACACAGGCATCCGTAAGCTTACATGTAACATGCATGAACACTGATGTATAAGCAGACCTTAAGACCCTCAGACTTCCTCCATTCATGCTTACAATGACAGGCAAATGTGGATTTTGGAAACTAGTTAGCAAAGCAAAACTGAGGCTTAAAGAAAACAGCTTCACTGTTTGTCCTCACCTCCCTTTTCCGTGCCTCACATTTCATCATAAAAGTTTTTCTGGCAGGAAGATTTGCAGAGGTATTGATGTAGGTGCCGGTGTTTGACCGCAATAGGCAACACAGAGACAATATGAGTATACCACAGTCTAAACGGCAGAACCAGAAAGACCGCAGAAAAAGCCTGGGGGTCCACCAAAAGTCCTTTAGTAACATTTGGACCCTCACTCACCCACCTTGGAGTCCAGAGCCATGAAGAGTCTTTGGCCGATCAAAAGATATCCCTCATAAATGCAAATATGAGTCTTTAAACCCTAGTGACATTCATAGAAATGGCATTACTCACCAGAGCTTAAATCACTTTTATGTTGCTAAACAAAGAATATCACTTCAGAAAAAAAAGCACTTGAAAATATTCCAAGTCCAAAGACTAGGTCTGGTGAAATGTGGCCAACGAGCAACGAGTTCAGGTCTTCTTGAGCTCCTCTGTGCCTCTACACAAAACTGTGTGAGCTATTCACTTTCCTGGCTGTGTGACATCGCTTAGGCCTGTGTAAATACAGCTAAAGGCAACGATTAGACATAATTTATATAAAATCCTGTGAGGGGATATTAATCTTCTAAATTTATGGCATAATATTTGCCTAATTCATGTTTTTCAACTCAATTATTTGACCAGGTCTGGTTTGTATCACTCTGAGATGAAAGAAAGGACTATTTTGTTACAAAACAATTAAAGACCACATACCACCTACATTCATTCAAATATATTTGTTAAAACATAAGCATCAAAGAGAACCCAACACACTCTAACATGATGAATAAAGAAAAGAATAAATGTCGACTGATGGGTTCAAGTAGCTTGCTTTGCTCAAGTAAATGTCTACCTTATTAGAGACTGGTGAAAGGTGATTTAAAAAACGGCTTTATCCAGCTTATAGAATACCTGTACATACAACATATGCACTGTACTGCCTAAGACAGATGGTGTGTAGGCACCTGACTTCAGAAATAGCTTTCGTACATAAGCATAAGGGGGGTATTGTCAAATAATCCATAGTTTTCTAATGAATCAACAGAAACTTAAAGTAGATTTCAGGAGACAGTGTTAAAAGCTGAAGACCAAAGCATTTATTGTTTCCATTGAACAGTTCATGTCGGTGTGTTAATTTAAGGCCTATAGAGTAACTGCATGTGTGTGTGTGTGTGTGTGCGTGTGTGTGGGGGGGGTTAATATTAAGCTTCCATAGTTGAACAACTGAACTTCTGTCTAACTCAATAATAGCACCAAGAGTTCTTATGTGCTCTGAGTTTTATAGCTTTTTTATGTTGAGTGCTTCTCTAACTTTATAGTTTTGAGAGACAAAAACAATGATTTGTGTTCTTTTTTCTCCATTAACATGGACAACATTCTGACCTGTCAATGGACACACTGGCTCTGACTGTAAGTGTGGTCAGAACTCTGTCATCATGATAGCTTGAATCAGGGAAAGATTCCATCTCCCCTCTTTCACAGCAAATCTGAAACCACCATGGTGAACTGCTCTGAAAGCTCTGGAGATTATTGTATGGAGAATGATTCTTCATAAAATGAATTACAATGAAGAAAACCCATGAGCATGAGACTGGAATACAACAATGGTGTCTTCAGCCAGAGGCTTCTTCCGATCTGCTGTCAGACTGCAACATGCACAGCAACTATTTAAAGAACCCTGGATAATATGAGTAACAACATTTTATTTCCCTCTGGGATTAATGAAGTATTCTTTAAGGGAAGGGGGAAGAAAGGGAAAAAAGAGGGAAAAAAAAAAACTTTGGTATTTTATTCTATGTTGCATGCCTTTGTGTTTTGTGTTTATGATGTAAAGCACTTTGAAATGCCTTGTAGCTGAAATGTGCTATACAAATAAAATTTGATTGATTGATTGATTGATTAAATTTAACATGTCAAGACTTTTTTAAAGAAGACAACTAAGAATTTATAATAAATATGTAGGCAAATGTGTTTTTAAAGAACCACAATTTTACTTCTATATTTAGGGATTAAAACATCCATTCATTTTCTATATTCACCCTTGTCCCTAATGAGGTCGGGAAGTGTGCTGGTGCCTATTTCCAGTGAACGTTTCTAGACAGGTCGCCAGTCTGTCGCAGAGGACTAAAACAAAGATTACCATAAAGCTTTTGCAAAGAGGATGGATTAATTTTCTACAATGGAATGTTGATATGTGTTGAAAATTATGTTTAAAAAAGCATATGGTTTCTAAAGAGAATTTATTTTAAGAAGTATAATTGTCATGTTCTGTTCTGGAATTTCAAGAAAAAAAACTGCTCAAGCCTACATTTTTGTGTTATATACATATGTTTTAAAACATTTGTCATATTATTCAAAGTTATTAACAGATACTGTATATGGGAAAATAACAGATACAGAAAGTGAAATACACTGTAGTTTGAGCTAAGGGTAGTA